TGGCCACGGCCGTCGTGCTTCCTCCCTCGGCGCTGCGCTCGCGCCCGCCGCGCCGGCGCCGGCCAGCGGTCCCCGCTAGGCCATCGCCTGCACGCTGAAGGCGGCGGTCGCGGCCTGTCGGGGGGCCCCCCTTGCCAGGCCCGGGGAGATCTCGGCCTCGCGCTCTGCCCACGCGGAGGGGCGCTGTCGCCCGGGGCCGGGCCAACCGCGGCCACCACGGGACGACCCGGCTCGAGAGACGCCGCAGGAAGGCGGGGGCGCGGGCTCTGGCTTGTGATGCTCAAAGATGCTGTGTTCTTTCTCGCGACGTCGGATCTCAAGGCCTCCCAGGATGGCGGGGTGCGGCGGCCGTGGCCACGGCGGTGGCGGGGCTCGTCGCAATTTCCGCCCCATGGTGGGAGGGGTGGCCTCTCCGCCGCACCTGCCACTCTTCGTGCTCCCCTCCCCGTCTGCTCGTGTCTCCTCCTCGTTCTCCTCCGCCGTCTCCTCATTCTCGTCTTTGCTACTTTCTGGTCCTCCTCCTTCGTGTCCTCCTCTTCCTCCGCCACACCAGCCACCGCCTCCTCCTTCTCCTACGCACTTATCCTCCTCGTCCTTCTGCTCCTCCTCCTCATCATCGTCGTCGTCGTCGTCAATCTCATCATCATCATTACCATCATCATAATTATCATCATCGCCATCATCATCATCATCACCACCACCATCATCATCATCGTCTCCACCCCCCACTACCACCACCATCATCATCAGCCAGCGTCGTCGTCGCCATCATCAGCAGCAACATCATCATCACCACCACCATCATCATCATCATCGTCGTCGGTGCCGTCGCCATCATGATCATCATCCGCATCGACATCAACATCAACATCACCATCATCACCACCACCATCGCCATCATCGTCGCCATCACCGCCACCTTCACCATCATCACCGTCACCAACACCACCACCAAAAACATCATTGTAGCCGGAGTGCAGTATCCCCAAACAGAGTTTTTAGACCCACTGCGGTTTCCAAGGTCGATCGCGTGCCCGTCCAGTGCGGACTGGCATGGCATGTTAGAACATGATTACATGATGTTCGCACATGAGATGTTTGCACGAAAGCTTGTGTGACGCATGCCTATCAGGAAGGTAACGCTAGAGGGTGTCGTACTCTCTCGCACCTGGTCGACGAGTAAGCTGTCGGGTCGGCACTGTGAGAGGCTCCACCGCCATGCTGTGAACTCGGAAGCAACTGTAAGAGGAAGCGGGGGAGGGCGCGGAAACGGGGGGGCATGTCGTGATGGTTCCCCCGGGGATGATATCGAGAGGTACGCGGCGCACGTCTCCAAAAAAAAACGCGACGTCGGATGTCTGGGGAGGGCGGAAGGCAGTGCGCGCATGACGGATGCTGAGGCAGCAGAAACGACGACGGCGGGGACGGGGAGGCGGAGGCAGAGGCGCAGCAGCGGGATGCGGGAGGCGGGAGGAGGGAAGAGGTGCCAGGCGGGAAGTGGGGAGAGGGAGGCGGGAGAAGGAATGAGAGAGGTTGTGATTGGAGCCCCTGTGCTTCGAAACGTCTCAGGCAGAACGGGCCAGACCATCTCGCGCGCAACATCTTCGAGCCTCGCATTGCGAGGATGGCTCAATCGAAACGGGCCCGACCACCTCGCGAGCGACATCTTGGAGCTCAGTATCGGAAGGATGTCTCAAACGAACTGGGCCGGACAACCTTTCGCACACGTTCTGACAAGTCCGCGTCACACTCGCTTCCCGTTAGGTCCTCTCCTGCAACTCCCTTCCTTCTCCCTCCTCCTCCTCCTCCTCCTCCCCCTCCTCCTGCCTGCTCCCTCATCCACATCATCCGCCCCCTCCTTCTCCCTTCCATCTCCTTCTCCTTCTCCTTCTCCTCCTCCTCCTCCTCCTCCTCCTCCTCCTCCTCTTCATCCCGAACGGCATCTCGGAGCCTAGAGTTGCGAGGATGTCTCCAGCGTAACGGGCCGGACCACCTCGCGCGCGGCATCTCGGACCCCAGAGTTGCGACGATGTCTCGGGCGAAACGTGCTGCGAGGATGTCTCAGGCGAAACTGCCCGGACCACCTCGAGCGCGGCGTCTCAGAGCTCCGAGTTGCGGGGGCCTCCTGGTGCCTCCTGGTGCCTCCTGGGGACCTCCTGGGGCTTCCTCCTGGGCCTCCTGTGGCCTCCTGAACTCCACCTGGGGCTTCCTGAAGCCTCTTGGGGCTCCCAGGGGGGATATCTAACCTGTGGCCGTACAAATCAACAAATCGACACCGGATGTGTATAAACTTGACACGTTCTGATAGGGGGCCTCCTGGGGCCTCCTTGGAGCCCCCTGGGAATCTCCTGGGGACCCCTGGGGCCTGTCCTGGGCGTCCTGCGGCCTCCTGGAGCTCTCTGGGGCCTCCTGGGGCTTCCAGGGTCCCAGGGAGGACATGTAACATGTGTTCTTCTGAGCCCCCAGGCTGGACCACCTCTTGCGCGGCATCTGGGAGCTCAGAGTTGCGAGAATGCCTTGTGCGAAACAGGCCGGACCACCTTGCGCACGGCATCTCAGAGCTCAGAGTTGCGAGGATGTCTCAGGCGAGACGGGCCGGACCACCTCGAGGAGGGCATCTCAGAGCTCAGAAGTTCGAGGATGTCTCAGGCGAAACGGGCCGGACCACCTCTCGCGCGGCATCTCCGAGGTCAGAATTCTGAGGATGTCTCAGGCGAAACGGCCCGGACCACCTCGCGAAAGGCATCTCAGAGCTCAGAGTTTCGAGGATGTCTCAGGCGAGACGGGCCGGACCACCTCTCGCACGGCACCTCGGGGCTGAGAGTTTCGAGGATGTCTCAAGCGAAACGACCCGGACCACCTCTGGCGCGGCGTCCTGGAGCGCAATTTTTCGAGGATGTCTCAAACGAAACGGCCAATCCCGGCCAACTCAGAAACGAGAGTTGTGAGGATGTCTCAAGCGAAACGGCCCGGACCATCAGATTTTTGTGAGGATGTCTCTGCTCCCCTTTCCCTCGGCCAGAGTTAGCTTCTATCACAACAGCACCCCGTTCAGCAAGCTATTTGGGGAATAAGTACGCTTATCAATATCATTACCACCACCATCACCACCACGCTCATCATCATCATCAGCAGCAGCAGCAGTAGCAGCAGTAGCAGCAGTAGCAGCATCAGCATCAGCATCAGCATCATCACCATCATTATCTTCATCATCATCATTATCAGCAGCGCCACAAGAACCATCACCATCACCATCACCATCATCATCCTCATCAAGATCATCATAATCAGCATGATCAGCATCATCATCATCGTTTCGTCATCATCATCACTATCATCATCTACATCACCTCCACCACCATCACCACCACCACCACCACCACGACCACGACCACGACCACGACCACGACCACCACCACCACCACCACCACCACTACCACCACCTCCAATATGATCATCATCATCATCATCATCATCATCATCATCATCATCAGTATCATAATCATCATCGTCGTCATTAGCATCATCCTCATCCTCATCCTTCACCTCCTCATCCTCCTCCCCATCAGTATCATCATCATCATCAGCATCCTCATCATCATCCTCATCACCATCGTCATCATCATCGACATCATCATTATCACCATCATAATCATCACCATCGTCATCATCATTATCATCACCATCATCCTTATCACTGTCATAATCATCATCATCACCATCCCATCGTCATCATCATCTTCGTTCGTCGTCGTCAGTATCATCCCCAGTCCTACTCTCATCTTATCACCATCATCACCATTGTCAACACCATCATCATCATCACCATCGTCGTCATTATCATCATAATCATCGTCGTCATCTCTCTCCGCCTCAGAAGGCAATATGGGTAGATGGGGCCCAAGCGTGCACACATCGCCTGTGTGCTTGGGTGCCAAGCCGGCCTCCCGGGATCCTGCGCTGTGTCGTCTCCTCCGTGCGCCCCGACGGGCGGTGTGCTCTGCGTGCGCCTCTCTGAAGGCTGCACGAGGTGGCCAGACCGTCGGGAACCTTCTGAGGCAACTCGTAAGAGCCTTCCTTACCATCTTGTTGGCTCTACGAATCGACGCTAATTCACGATAGTCGACGATCGCCGACGCTAGACCTACGCTGAGTCGACGCCGATCGACGCAAATCGACGCCACATCTCATCGATCACCAGACGCCAGTCGACGCAATGCAATCTGAAGACGGAGTTACGAAAGCATTCAAGGCTTCCATGATCTGCTACCGAATTGGAAACGGCTTGCCCAAGGGTGGCCTGACTGATAGAGCAAGGCGAGCGGAACATACGTTTACGGTCGGGAACTTTTGCTTAGCGAGTCGCGGCGGTGGCCCTGGCGACACGCTATGCCTGGGAACCGGATAGCGTGTCGATTCGCTGCGCGGGGCGGGAGGCTCGGAAAAGCTTGGGAAGTTGACGCTGGGCGGCTGGGGAGTGGTGGATAGCGTGTCGCACCGAAGCGTGGTGGGCCAGAACTGGCTGAGTGACGCGCTATCCCACAATTCCCGAGCGTACGATAGAGAACAAGATATGAGCAGGCCACCCTGGAATCTCTGGCCGGCGAATCCGTACGGTCGTTGGAGTGCTGGAGCCGTTCCACAGTATCCCAGAACGCGCTGGGGAGAACATGGAGCGAATGCTGTATCCTGAGGTCTCCTTCTTCTGTGTTGCACTCTTCTGTCCCCATCATCCGTCCGTCATCCCCTCCTGCTCCTCCTGCCCCTCCACCTCCTTCCCAACCTCTTCGAGCTATTCCTCCTCCTCCTGTTTATCATCCGCTTCCTCCTCTTGCTCCTCCTCCTCTTCCTCCTCCTCCTCCGGGATCGCCTTTCACGCCTCCTAGGGGAGAGGAGGCCAATGGCCAACCCCTCACCAGTCAGAAAGGTGAATCCTCCTCCTCCTCCTCCTCCTCCCTCATCATCCCTCTTCCTCCTCCTCCTGCCGCTACTCCCTGCGCCCCCTGTTCCCGCGCTTTCTCGGCACTGCACCCGCAGGGGTGTCCAGGCACAGGCGCGGTATCACTCGTAGTCGTTCCACTTGAACTTGAGGCCGGTGAGGTCCTCCAGTCTTCTGCGGCCTGACTGCCGCGGCTCTGCTGGGAGGAGTACGGGGTAGGACCCTCCTTCTCATGCTGCCAGATGTCGATCAACCAGGACCATCGCGTCTCAGCACGCGAACGCGAAGTGGCAAGAAGGGCCTTCGAACTTGTGCGGTCATAACAACGATGCGGGCAAGGGCAGTACGGTGATCCTGTGGTGTGTGGAGACAGAGCAGAAGAGAGGAGACGAAGCTATGCCAAACCAACGAGTAGCCCGTAAGGTATCTGCGCAAAGAAGGACCCTCCTCCTGCTCACCATCATCACAGACCTCCCCCCTCCCCCACCAGGAGACAACGTGAAGGGGAACATGACATCGGCGATACATAGATCGACGCCTCCGATGGCGAATCCGCACGCTTCTGGGCGGGGAGGCTATCGGGCCCCTCTCGACGATGAATGGGCGATCAAGGGTCGATGCGCTCTCCGCTGAGCCCATCCCCCCTAATGTTGCCCCTCATCGGTTCTCCCTCCTCCTCCTCCTCCACCTCCTCCTCCTCCTCCTCCTCCTCGCCAGGACTGCGAGCGAGCGAGGCGCTGGTGCAGGCTCGTGCGGCGCAGCGAGCGTGCCTGTGCCTGGGGGGTCACGGCGCGCGAGGCCGTGGCTTCTGAGAAGCCCCGCCGCCCTCTGACTCGCCATCGCTCGGACGTCCATTCCCTGTGTTTTTTTGGTTTCGTGCGTGTTTTTTTCGCCAAATGATCAATGATGCTCCTCGATGGTCCTCGCCGAGAAAAAAATGCACACGTCCAAGCGATGCCAGGCTGAGGAGGCGCCCCCCCCTTCTCGCTGCTGCCCCCCGCTCGCCGCCGGCGGCAGGCCTCCGACTCGAACGGCGCCCTTCGTGGCTGCAGGAGGCTGGGAGCCGGAGGTCCGCGTGCCCCGAAGGGGCTCACGGAGCCGCAGCGCCGGGAGCGCGCGCGGAGAGAAAGAGAGAGAGAGAGAGAGGTGACGGAGGGCGGCGCGGGAGAGCTCCGAGGAGCAGGGGCGGCGCCGGCGCGCGGCGGCCCGGCGACGCCGCGCGGCCCGGGCGCAGCAGGGACTGCCCCGGGAGGGGCGCTCTGCGCCGCAGGGAGGCCTTCTGCCCAGGCAGCGAGCGTCCCGAAGAGCATGGAGGACGGAGCTCTGTCCTCGTCTTCGGCCTCCCGGGGCCCGTGCCGGGCCATAGGACCGCCGGGCAGCGGCTCGCGGCAGAAAAGAGCCGCCGGATGTCTGAGCGCCGACGGAGCGACCCAAACGAGGGGAAGGATCGGGGCAACGTCGGCTCGGGCGGCGGCTCTCAGGGATGCATCGGGCACTGCGGCCGTTCCAGAGCGTTTCAGAACGCTCGGGCGCCGCGGCCGTTCCAGCGCGTTCCGGAACGCTCTGAGAGCATTCCAGAACGCTCTGGAGGGACCTATCCCGACCATAGGCCTGACTGGGCTGCGTCGCAGCGTCGCAGGGAAGTGGCGAACTAACGAGCACCGCTGCGGACAACCGTCCGGGCCCGGCCTCCCGCCTGAGCGTCCGTCGTTGTCTGCCTACTTCTCGGTTCCTTCCTCTCGCTCCCTCCGTCTCCCTCTCTCGCCAAGACGACCGGGTGGGGGAGGCCATGGCCTCTGGCTCGTCTGGGAAGCATGCAGGGCGGGGCGCACAAGAGGCTTGTGCTGGAGCGCAGGGGGAGGAGCAAGACGGGGGACTCCCTGCTGCAGGTGCGGGCGAGGAGGGGGGCCGGGGGGAGGGAGGGAGGGGCGGAGGCGTGTGGGCGCGAACTGGACGCCTCTCTGCGGCAGGCTCCGGTCGTGACGACGTGCGCCTCGGTCTCTGACGCCGCGTGCAGCGTCCGATCTCGAGCGACCGAGGCCTCCCTTTGAGCGCGATGTCAGCGGGCTCCAGGCCACCGGCGCTCCACCGTGAACGCCCGTGCCGAGCTCGTCGCCCTGTCGACACGCCACGAGCTCACCGCACACATGCCCTTCTTTGGGCGATCTTTGGGGGCTCTTGGGCCTATCGGGCCGTCGGAAGGCTGAAAAGAAGCAAATGTCAAATCCTTCAAAAACCTTTGGAACATCATTGTTTTTTGTACCTTGTCTGGCCGTCCTGGAGGCCCTCTTGGAGGCCTCTTGGGGATTTGGGCCAACTTCGAGCCAACTTCGGCCATCTTGGTGGGTTCCTGGCCCGTCTGACGCCGTCGGGAGCCGTCTTGGGGTCTCTCTGAACCGGCTTGGGGCCCTCTTGGGGCGCTTCGGGGCCGTCTTGGAGGCCATCTTGGGCGTCTTGGAGGCCCTCTTGGGCCGTCTTGGAGGCCCTCTTGGGCCGTCTTGGAGGCCTCTTGGGGCCGTCTTTGGGGCCTCCTCCTCAAGAGGCGTGCGTGCGACCTGAACACAGAGCACAACCATCTTATCCTTTTTGTGGAGCACAGCCACCTTCTGCTATATCGCTTCCCGAGCGGAGGAGGAGGAGGAGGAGGAGGAGGAGGAGGAGGAGGAGGAGGAGGAGGAGGAGGAGGAGGAGGAGGAGGAGGAGGAGGAGGAGGCACGGCCAGAGAGCGCCCTCCACGAGGCACGTGCCATACGACCTCTCGGAGCGCGCGTCGCCCGTGATAACGGGGGCGACGCACACAGAGAGTATTCGCAGGCTGGGGTGGCACCGACATGGAGTCAAAAACCCTAATAAGGACGCGCGGGAAGGACGCAAGACCCTTGGAAGCCGAAGTTGGGATTTTTGGGGCGGCGGACGACGAAAACCCCAAGGACGCAGGAGCAAGGAAGAGCAAGGACGCAAGGGTACCCTGAGCAACGTCTCGCGTCCTTACTAGGGTTTTTGACGGTACGCCTTCCGCCTTCCTGGCCAGGGCAGAGGTCGTCTGCACCGATCCCAGGCCTAGGATGGGCCTGGCCAGCATCGGCGCAGGTGGATAGTCGGCATCCCCCCGAGGGGGGGGGGGAAGGGGAGAACAGAGCGAAGCGAAGTGGAGCGAACCATAGAACCGTGGCGACCCTCTTGGGAGTATGCCCGTGCCCATCAGGGCATGACGTGGAGGCCGCGGCCTCAGGAATGTGGCATGCAGGCGGACTCACGCGGTAACCACAACTCAGGGGGAGAGAACGTGGTACTCACGGAGGGGGAGATCGCGAGTGAGGGAACAGAAACGAGGGAGTGAGGCAGCCATTCATTCCATGGGGCCCCTGGGGAACCCACCAGCCACCTGAGGGGTTGCAAGAGAGGATACCCAAAGATACCAGTACCGCGTTCTGACAAACAACTCGAAGCGAATCCTGCCATGGAGACGAGGGCCTGCCAGGAGGCCAACAAGGCGAAATCGAGGCAGGGGTATCCGACAGATCGCAGCTCGGATCGGCGACCTTCCCCCCCCTCTCCAACAACAGCAGCAACACTGACTGCTGCCTCCCAACCGTGCCAGCGGGGACCTCAGCTCGTTCAGCCAGTGGGGGTCCCGAGCTCTCGACGGAGGCATGGAGCATGGACTTCGTGACGCGGGCCGCTCTTCCTGGCGGCCCCGGGTCCCGCAACGGCACCCTCTGGTGGGCCAGAAAAGATTTTAACACCAACGAAGAACATATGCCTCCCCTGCCCCTGGCCATCGCTCGGACGTCCATTTCCTGTGTTTTTTCTCGGTTTCGTGCGTGGTTTTTTCGCCAAATGATCAAGGATGCTCCTCGATGGTCCTCGCCGAGGAAAAAACGCACACGTCCGAGCGATGCCAGGGCCCTGGGGAGGCCCGAACTCCGAAGAAGGAACAGCAGCACACGCCCTGCAATTCTAGGACGCCGGGGGCCTGGGGAACCCCGCGGGGCACAACTGCCATCAATACCGCTGCATGCTCCCCCGGCACTCCCCGGACCCCTCCGGGGGTGCCCTCTGACCAGAAGTCCGAGGAGAACCCCGCCGCGGCGACAGGGGCCCTCCAGGGACGAGCAGCGGCATCGGCACCCAGACAGCTGGCGTCTCGATTCTCTTCGAGGCACGGCCCCCGACCTCTCGACCGCATCCCCAGGAGCGGTTTCTCATCGCGCATCGTTGTTCACGATCCCGAGGCCTGGTACGGGCCTTGAGAGGTCGAATACAAAGGAAAGCCTCCATCGCGACGCTTCGGAACGCTGGATGTCTGGGTACGGTCGGACCTGGGCCAGAACCACCTCCTACAAGAACATGAGACCCTCCGCCGGCCAAAACGCACAGAACATCCAAGGATGCCCTCCCCAGGATGCACAAGAGCATCCAACAAGCACGAGGAACACTCAGGTACCCTCCCCGAACCGACCTCGATCCCTCCCTCCCAGGAGGGAGGGAGGGATCGACCGAGTCGCGGCGGGAGGGAGGGAGGGGGGGGGGGGGGCGCAGCAGCGGCGGTCGGGGGCGAGCGCTCCCACTCCTCCTCCTCCTCCTCCTCCTCCTCCTCCTCCTCCTCTGACGTTGTCAAGCATCCAAACCGACACGACCTCGACACCTCGCTCCGACGCGTCCGACCGCGGGCAGCTGCCCCTCGGTGATATCCTCGCGTGGCGGCGCGCCCTGCCCCTGCCAGCCGGCGGCAAGTCTTCACCCACGGCAGGCTGTGGTACTGCTCGTGGACGCCGTCGTGGTGCTTCCTGTTGTTCCGCCTGTGGCCGCGAACGACGAGCACACAGACGGGGCGTTGACCTAAGGAACCCTAAATAAGGAACGAGGCCCCTTTTTTTCCTCAAGTTAATCTTCGATTTCCAATCGAAGACATAAGGAAAACCTGAGGCAAGCTGTGAAACACTTAAGGAACGCGGAGCCCCGCGTTCAAACCAAAAGGGTTCCTTCTGCAGGGCCCCGGCTGTACAGGCGAACCTGAGACATAAGAATCACATCCTTCAAGAGCGCGAGGCCCTCCGCTGGCCCGAACCGCAGAACATCCGAGAGCACCCTCCCCCAGGACGCACGCGAACACCCAACAGGCACGAAGGACAACAGGGTACCCTCCCCGAACCGACTTCGATCTTACAGTGGGAGCCCGACCACAAGAAGCCTTCCACAAGAAACCTAAGCCTGACCCCCAGGACGTCCATTGATCTTTGGTGTGGGAACGTCACGCTTACCATGGCAAAAACACCGAAACCCAAGAAACCCAGGGCACCCTGGAGGCGAGCAAGGTGTTTCTCGGCATGTGTCTCCACTTCATACCTCGGTCCGACCGTATCCGTGTCCGTGCCCTCGCGGTCTGGACTCCGAGGCGCGATCCAAGGGACACGCGATCCCACGGATATGCGTCCCGCGCGGGCCCTCCGCGCAGAGCCGCCCCGTACCCGTGGGGCCGCGGCCGAGGAGCCCCCACCGCGAGTCCGTGGACCAGGATGTGTCCCCCGCCCCTACGAATCATGTGCGCGGGCGGTGAGGGGGCCAAAGAACTTTTCAAAAACGAGAATCGGTTGGCGTCAGATCCGTTCGACGTCGTGGCCCTGGCCAGGATATCTACGCACCCCCAGTCCTCGACCCCCTCTAGGACGCCCTGGAACAGAGCCCCCCCGCCCCCCCCCACCGAACGGAGCCCCCCCCTCCCTGGATGTGTCTCGGAGGCAACCGTCGGGGGGACCGACTTGAGGTTTTCGGACGTTCTCGTTGGCCCTCGGCGGCTTTCCCACCTCTGGACGCCTTCCAACATCTTCCAACGGCTGCGCCCCCCCGGCCACGGCGCTCTGGAGGTTCCTCGGGTCGCCCCGTACGGCGGCCGGGCGGCCGGAGGCCCGAGGTGTGACCCGGAATCCATCAGGGGGGCGGCTCAGGGGCGGTAGTGGTGAAGCGTCCAGCCGTTTGCGAACTAGACGCCCACTTGTAGAAGGACAGAGCGCCCGCCCCCGCGCCCCGCATCTCAATGTTGGCCAACGAATGCGCCAAAAAGGAGCGCGACGTGTTGCGAAACAAACGCCTACTTCTGCGTGGGGGCACGGCTTCTTCGTCAACCTTGCAATGCGGGGGGAAGGGGGGTGAGCTTTGTCGTCTTGTCACCGATACCTGAGATCGGCGTTTATTTCGCAAACGACGGTCGCGCTGGAGTCGGCGATGCACCGCCGATGGATCGGCGACAGGCCTCCGATGGCGAGCACGCGCGCTCCGGGGCGGTGAAAGGCCATCGGGCCCCTCACCGGCGATGCGGGGGCGCTCGGGGGTGGGCCGACGCATCCCCCTGAGCCTATCCCTCGGTACAGCTGCCCCTGGCCATCGCTCGGACGTCCATTTCCTGTGTTTTTTTTGGTTTCGTGCGTGGTTTTTTCGCCAAATGATCAAGGATGCTCCTCGATGGTCCTCGCCGAGGAAAAAACGCACACGTCCGAGCGATGCCAAGGCCCCCGAGCCTGGGGCCACTCGAGAGGTGGGCAGCGAGCGAGGCGAGCGCGCGTCGCCGAGGCTCCGTTGTATAGCACGGGTGCGCGCGGGGGCACGCGCCGCCCCACCGCGTCGCTGCGGCGAGCGCCCGGCCGGGACAGGGCGAGGACCGCGCGGGCCGGGGGTTCCCAAGAAGGAGGAGGAGGAGGAGGAGGAGGAGGAGGAGGAGGAGGAGGAGGAGGAGCGGGCCTGGCCCAGGAGCCTGGAGCCCCCACGGCCCTCGTGGCCGCGCGAGGGGTGTTCACCAGAAGTCACCTGGCCCTCCCTGGGGAAGGCGAAAGCACTGCACAGGCACGAGCTGTCGGGTGTCCGCGCGGCAAGGCCTCTTGGATCGGCGCTCCGCCGGGGGGGGCGCGGCGACGATCCAAGAAATCCGCGCGGGCCTCCGACAGTTTGCATCAACACCGTTTGCGCTCAAGGGTTCATGTTTTGTTTGCCGAGGTAGCTGGGGAGCATGTCGAGGGGAGACTGTCGAGGGCGCGCAGCGTTGCCGCCCGTGCCGCCTCGCGGCCGCCACGCGCTTGGGGGGTATGGGGTGTGTCGAGGCTGTGCCACGTTGCCACCCGTGCCGCCTCGCAGACGCCTCGCTGGCACGCCGTGCGCTGAGTGGGCTGTCCGAAATTGCGCCACGTTGCAGCCCATGCCGCGTAGCTTACAGCTCCATAGCTTACACTACGTAGCTTCCGCCGCGCAGCTTACACGGCATAGATTTCACCACACAGCTTACACCGCTTAGCGTTCACCACCATAGCTCACACCACATAGCTTACACGACATAGCGTTCATCACCTGGCTTACACCACATAGCTTACACCAAGTAGCTTGCACCGCGTAGCTTACACCGCATAGCTTACATCCCATAGCTTACACAACATAGCGTTCACCTCCAGTCCACACCGCATGTCTTACACAACAGGGCTGACACCGCAGAGCGTGCACCTCCACAGCTCAGACCGCATTGCTTACGCGACGTTGCTGTCACGACATAGCTTACACCGCACAGCTTCCCCCTCTACAGTGCAGTGGCGCAGTGTTTGGGGTCCAGCCTGGCGGACCTGCAACTGGTGCTTGTGCGAACCTCGAACTCCCCGGGGGAAGCAGGGGAGGACCTCGGGCCGGGGCCGCCTCTGGCAGCGCCCGAGTGGCCGTGACGCAGAGTCGGGCCCCCCCGCCTGCAGTGCAAAGCCTGGGCAACTAGGACACTGGCGCGCCCGAGACAACTGAAGGCGAGGGCAGGGACACGCTCCGTTCTCCGTTCTGGCAGATGCGGGGCCCCGGAGGGCCTGATCGGGGGCGGCCCCGTGGCCCTGGCTCGTGGCCACACGTGGCCCTGCCGCAGCGATCGGGCCTCGCCCTCTGTGATGCTGCTCGTGCCAGGGGGGCTGCGGAGTGCGCACGCAGCTGCACATCTGCCATGCTGCCTCATCCACCGGTTTCCTGCAACGCCTCCGCCCTCGGCCATGCCTACCCTCCTGCATGCTTCACGTTACCTCCGCGTTTTTCGTGCATTCTTGGCATGAGGCAGGCGGGTCCTGAGGGAAACGGGTCCTCTCTGAGTTGAGGCCTCCTGCCGCATAGATGCAATTCACTACAATCAACCCGTATCATAAAAATGCGCGGTAAGGATGCAAGGACCTTGGAGGGCCACGGTAACGCTTTTCGAACGAGGCTGGCCAGCGAAAGTTGCTAAGCATGGACGGAGGCTGGTGGAGGCAAGGATGCAAGGTTACCCTTGGGAAGGTTGCCCATCAGTACTATGCGGGTTTACTGTATTGAGGGGCAACGATAGGGGGGGACTGGCATAGGGGGGGGAACATCGACCTGGAATCGGCGATACATCACCGATAGATCGGCGATAGACCCCCGATAGAAGCCGCACGTTCCTGGGCAGGTTTGGGCTATTGGGCCCCTATCGGCGATCAATGGGCGACTGGGGGTCGATGCGTCCCCCCCTCTGTGCCCATCCCTCCCCATCGTTGCCCTGATGTATTCACTCTCCCCCCACTCTCTCCCATGATCCTCCGACCAGGGAGCGAGGCGCCTGCGGCCAGAGCCGCCGTTCTTCAGCTTCTCGGGGTAGGGCGCCCGCTTCACGCCGAGGAAGTCGGTGACCTGGTCGTAGGTGGCCTGGCGAGCGAGGCGCGGAGGGGGAGGGGAGGGGCGGGGCGCCCAGGTCTCCGACGACGTGGCCTGTGCACTCCCAGCGTTTCTCCTTTGTTTCGGCCTCCTCCTCCTCCTCCTCCTCCTCCTCCTCCTCCTCCTCCTCCTCTCCTCCTCCTCCTCCTCCTCCTCCTCCTCCCTCCTCCTCCTCCTCCTCCCCCCCCCTCCTCCTCCCCCTCCGCCTCCCCCTCCCTCCCCCTCCTCCCCCTATTCCCACACCTCCCCCTCCCCAGCCTCCCCCTCCCTTCCTCCTCTGGCTGTGGCCACCGCCACCAACAAAAACTGGTCCTGGGCGCAGGCCTACCTGTGGGCAAGGGGTGCGGAGGTCGGGGGCCCCGGTCGGAACGAATCATACCGTCGCGGACGTCTGGGGAGGGAGGGGGGAGGTTGGCGGCGCACACAAGGGGGAGAGGGCAGGGAGAAGTCTTCCTAGAAGGCGGCCGCCTCTCAGGAGGCGCCTTCTAAGAAGAAGGGGGGGGGTGCTCCTCAGAAGCGTTTCCCCCTCCCGCCACCCCCCTGTGCGCGTGGCTGAGAAGAAAGGGGGGGAGGGCGGAACCCTGCCACGGCCACCGCCAGAAGCCGTGGGGGAGTGGAGCCCGGCGAGCGGAGGGCACCGCCAACCGCGTGGCCGCACGCGGGGGCGGTTGTGAGCCCGGCGTGAAGTGCCCACAGACACTCCTGCTCCAGTGGGCGGCGCGCCTGGGGGCAGGCGAGAGGGGGCGGGCCTTCTGCGACGCAGACACTTTTGAAGGGGCCCTGGGACACACAAATAAATACACACAAATAACAGAATTCCCCATATTTTCCAATATTTTCTGGGTTCTTGTCTTCCCCCCCACTTCCCATATTTTCCCATATTTTGTGGGGAATCGACCATTAATTGTGTCTGTGTGTTTTTTCCCCTCCTGAACTTTCTCAGAAGGCCGGAGGGCTTCCGAGAAGCCCCGCCGCTGTCCGAGAAGGCCTTACCCTTCTCACCTCCCCCCCCCGCTCGCCGCCCGTCCAAGGAACCGCATCGCTGTCGATCACCCCAGTTCCCTTGCTGGTTCCATCTGGGGCCCCAGAGCCCCTGACCCCTTCGCTGTGGATAGTCTCGTCCCAATTCAATGTCTGAGGTCCCGGGGCCCAACAACGGTCCCCGGAGGCCGACATCGAGGAAGAACCGCCCAGATGGGAAAACAAAAAACAGCACATCGTCGGAGATCTGCGTGTGCGATCGAAGCGAACACGGACTCCTCCGGGGCGGCACTCCCGAATGGGGAAGCGCACCTGCGGGGGCAGTGGCGGTCCACGAGCTGCCTCGCCCCGGGTGGGGTGGGGGCGCCCCGTGTGCGCGCATGGCCTGGCGGACCCCTCCAGGCAGCGACGGAAAGACAGCTGAGATAGAAAGGACTCCTGCCCAGAGAAAGCACGCGTGTCGATCGGCACGTTTTTCTGGAGGCATCTCGAATGGGGTTCGAGTAGGTTTAAGTCGGGCCTGTCCCCCTACAGGGGGATTTTGGACGACAAATGAAGAATAGTCAACAAATACCCCCAAATCATAAAAAAAACTCAAAAAATCGTCCTCAGACTATTTTTTGACTATTTTTGAATATTCCTCCTGTAGAGGGACATGCCCGACTTAAGAGTAGGTGGAGTCGGAGGATCGCGCCGCATCGCTGACACATCGCCGATGCATCGGCGCAGCTGCCGCGGAGAAAACCGGGCTCCACATCGGTCGGCATCACCGATGCATCGGCAATGCGGCTCAAGCCTCCGGCCCCATTTGCTCGGACCCCGTCTGGGAGGCCTGGGGCTTCGCGACGCTCTCGGGGGTGGGGTAGATCCGACAGGCCAGCTGGCCCGAGTCCGAGCCCAGCTCTCCACAGTCGGCCGCCGCCGAAGTCCCTGCACCGACGCTCGTCTGTCTGCCCGAGGGTGCCAGCGCTGCACGCGCAGGCCGCCGAGGCCTGCGCGGAGGTGGCGCGGAACCTCCTGGCGCCTCAGAAGGGGGGCCCTGAGGCACCTCCGGAGAGACCTCTGGGGGCCTCTGATGCCCGCGCGAGCCTCCGGAGACCTCCAAGGAGGGGGGAAAAGGCAGAGAGGGGAGAAGGGGAGAAGGGGAAGGGGAGAGATGGGAGAAAGGAACGAGGGGAGAAGGGGAAAGGAGGGGAGGGGAGAAGAGAGGGGAGAAGGGGAGAGGTGGAGAAGAAAGAGAGGGGAGAAGGGAAGAGAAACGCACTCCCCAGAAGCGGACGCCGTCACGACCTGCATCACGATCGGGCCTCTCCGGGCAGGCCAGGCTCGCGGGGGCCAGGGTCGCCTCGGATCGCGATGTCCGGCACCACGCGCCGGGGATGCCCATGGCAGGAAGGGAGGAGGGAGGGAGGAGTGACGACGGGGGGAGGGAGGAGGGAGGAGGAGGGAGGGAGGACCCATATAGGGAGGAGGGAGGGAGGAGGCAGGAAGGAGGGAGGAGGGAGGAGCGACGACGGATGAGGGAGGGGCAGGGACGGGAAGGGAAGGGGAGGAGGACGACAACGGCGGCAGGGAGGAGAGCCTGGGGGTCGGCAAAGAAGTCCTCGCTAGTGAGGAACAGGAATTGCTTCCTCGGGAACAC